GGAAGGGGGAAGGGGGGGACAGATTCTTCTGAACACCAACTTTCTTGCATGCATCGCTGACAGTAACTGCTCTCAACTCTCAAGCAGGCAAAAATGAGCTACGCCTTCTCTCTTCTCTCCCCGACTCCTCTCAAACTTCATATTTTCGGAATTCATAATCAATTACCATCCAGATGAATTAATTGGACACCTCCACCGGAGCTTTCTCCAAAGCTCAACACAACAGTGGAATCATTGTGAATCCCCCAAATAGAAATTCATGATGAGATATGGATGAAAGTTAAAGAAACAACCAGTTTATGCAACTCTGGGATTTCTTCGCCCCACAGACTTAAAGATGGGATGGGACCCATGATAAAAAATGACATATCCAGTCCAGCAGCTTTGTCTTGTAGCATGTATATCAGGTTTGCCAGGGAGAAATTTCCAAGAGTTTCATCAACTCGTTATATTTACTGTCATTGCTCAGTGTTATAGTACATCCTCTTCTGAATATCCATTTCAATCACAAATTCACAATTATTATTATTATTATTAATTAAATTAGGTGGATAAGATCAAAGTCTATTACTATTACAAGCAAGACCCAAATATTGACTGGTTCACGGTCACCTGATAGAACCAGGGGCATCATTGAATTAGGATTTAAGAGCTCTAACATTTAACTTCACAGCTCCATCATCATCCATGGCGTGTACTGATCATCAACATCCATGGCGTGTACTGCAACCCCAGTATGAGCCACTTAATGAATCTGGAGATGAGATGAGTTGGATGGACGAAAATGGTGTCCGCCTGTCCGGTTAAGTTATGACATTGGACTTTCAATGTCAGGTATCCATCATATTCATATATATAGTTTATAGAGCATGCTGACTACCTCTACCTCTACTGGGTCATCTTCATTTTCTTTGGCCAGAGTAACTGTTGGATGATCTGGCTAGCTAGCTAGTCTCGGTGCTCTTGGGTCTTGGGAAGCTCAAAAGTTTGAATGTTTGATGATACAGTAAACGGTACCCTTATTTAATAAAGGCAGGAAGTGGAAGTTTCTCATTCCAATTCCACGGATTTGAAGTGAACTTCTAGGGAATCTGTGATGCTCAATGTCAAACAACACGGGATTGAAGGCTAACCCTCTAGTTAATTGAATTCTACAAGTATGGATTTGGAGCCGGAACATAACAACCGTGGGAATTACAATTCCTTGAGAATCAGTATCTACACCATATCCAAAACAAAATTGAGATAGGCTGTCGTCGACGGTTTTTTCCTTTCCCCATTAATTTTTCCTTCGATTTATTTTATCTATTTGGGGGCAGGAGTAGCTTCTTCCCCCAGATGAGTACCAACTGCCTAACCCAGTTTAAATTCAGTCCGTTCAAGTTGGATTTAAACCCAAACATCACCCATTATCTAAAATCGTAACCACTGTAACTGAGGTTTCTCGTTCTGAGATGCAAAAGCTGCCTCCAGTTCCTGCTCTGTCAGCATGCTGGAGAGGACGAACTTTGTACTGGCAGAAATTCCGATTGCTTCTGACTGTATGGGTCCGTCTCACTGCAAATTGGGTTCCAACTGCCTTGAAAGTTTCATCGGTGAAAGCTGCTCTTGACAAAAAAGAAAGAAAAATTCCTTCCCTTGGATAGTTGGATGACAAAAGTAAGAACATTAAGTGACACAATAAAACCTGGGGGGGTGGGGACATCAATTGGACCATCCAGATTGAAAGCACGAATTCATTGGATGACCAAAAGTTTGCCACTATATGAGGATACAATGCTACAATTTGATTCCTCCTGATTAGATAATACAAAGGAGAGCCAACATCTTTCCTCCAATCACAATGTTGACAAAACAATTCCTTGTGAATATGGAATTAAAGTTTAGGAACAGGAAATAACAACTTGACACGAAATGTATATTAGAGGTGATATATTTGGAACATAATGACATTGGGAATGATGGCAAGCTTTGATAGCTTAGAAGGAGGTTCTACAGCTAGAACTGAATCCACTGTTCGATGAGACAAAACATTCCTACACGATGCTTTTCTGAAAAGGGTCCATGGCCCTGGCTGTAGACTCTGGATCCACTCCTGTCCTCTATTTCTATAATTGCCTGTTGAATGAAACTTCAATATGGCTAAGCTGGACAATGGTCATGGTGTGGACTCTGGATGCATTGGCAACAAGCAATTTTCTACATTTTGAGGGTACATGGTATATTAACTTTCACATGTTATTACAGTTGGAGCAGCATCCAACTCATCTGAATTGAATCCAAAATCTTACACATCATATTGCTTTTTATGGTGGTCTCATAATGCTGTTTGTGCAACTTACTCTTTCTCGTGCACTGTCACCTTGTCCCAGAACTAGATAACATCACCTCCATATTGGTTCGCAGTCTGACACGTGATTGTGTTCAAAGCATGTTGGGCACAAACTGCCAAACTTGTTAAGATAAAAATGCAAACTTGGTATGATAAAATCTTAGCTTTACGTGTAGCGTTGCATGTCTCTGTGTGTATAGATTGCTTTATTTTGATCATTGAAAAGCTTTTGGACTAGGTTATGTTACTCAGTAAGTGGTAAATTAAAGATGGTGAAAATTTATGAATTTTGTTAACTTAAAGAAGAATCAATTTCAAGCCCATTTAGGAAATGTTGCCTCCTCTGCTTGTGCTTTTTCAATGCACTAACCATCAATAAAATCTGCTTTACTTATCACGGTTCCCCCCCTCCTCCCACATATTTGAGTTTAGCACAATAACAATACTAAGAGACCAACTTCAATTTCAAATATATTTAAGATGGAGAATGATCTGACACTCATAGGTTTATCCTTTACGAATGATCCATGCTTTTTGATTACCTAATCAATCAGCTTTTTCAGATCATAATTTCATTAACCAGTTAGAAGCAAAAGATTGAATCTGATAAAAGGGGGAAGCTGTTGTTAAAAGGGGGAACCTGTCAGCCACAAGGCCCCACACGAGTATTTGCACCGCACCTGCAGACCAAAGATAGGAGTTAGGACAAGAACATAATGGTCGCTATGATATACATTGTCTGAAAGTTTAACTCAACTTAATTTCATATTTCAACCTCCTTGCACTTAGTTGTGTCTTATTATATAGGAAACAACATAATAACAAAATACTGTTAACAGAAATAACTACAACAGAAAATGGAAAACACCGAGAGGGCACACTGACATAAGAGCATGCCAAATAAAATTTCAAAGCTTGAATGTGCACTCTGAGGTGGCATATTCCTAATCTCATGATCGGAGAAAACAAAACATGCGTGATCGATCCAAGGACCATCTATGTTTGGTCATAGATTGAGCATTCCCACCAAACTATGGTTACAGAGCACACAATCTAGAAACAGATGGAAATGTGAATCTTATGATCTTATCAGTAAAGCAAGCACCTTTTTAATTTAAATTTCCTAAGGCAAATTATCAACCAAAGGAAATATAAAATAGTATGGCTCTGAGCCTACAAGATTAACAGAGATGGACAAAATGTGCAAACTGAACACTCCTGAGAGGACCATCTTAGGAGAAACTATTACGTGAAAAAGAAAAAAAAAACTCTGGTGGCTATATTGAAGGCTTTACAAAAATGAAATATATGCAAATAGGAATTAAGTATTGAAATTTGGACATGGGAGCAATACTAATACTTGAATATAGAAATAGAAGAAACTTGACTTATCAAAATTGTCCTTTTCTTACATTATTATTATACAATTCACCACTTCAAACTCAGGACTTCGGATCTTGTTTTGTAAATTTCAATTAGATTCATCCTCCTACCTAGTAATCTCATTTTATAAGAATTGATCTATGGTAGATCTGCTGGTTTATGGTTTTAGTTGAGCATTCTCACCAAAGTTGCAGTTACCAAAAGCATGACCTAGCACATATGGGAGCAGGTATCCTTTTATGGCATATTTATCTGCAACACATGCATTTCTTCAGTCCTATTCTTTCTCCTTATAGTTTTCTTAATCAGAAAGACAGCAACAGATAGGAGTCATTTAGCAATCTAAGACAAGCATACAATGGGCGGCAAAGCCATTATGCAATCTTACGAAAATGAGTGGAATTTCTAGTGCTCATAAATAACAGGAAATGGTAGTCGAGATATAAAACAGAAACATGTTATTTGTATAAGTAAATCAATAACTTTTGCAGAACACATATACAAAAAACAAAATATTTTGCAAGGAATCAGTTTGTTGAGAGTGTCTGACAATTACACAGATATCCATGTCAAAGCTACATGGCTAAAGATCAATAAAAGAAACTCAGAAGGATAGATACTGGAAAGAAAAATTCCCTGAGAGAAGTTGCAAATAATCAGAGTGGATGATCTAGCCATTTGTGCCAGCCAGATGACATAATGAAAGAATACCGTTAAGCAACATCAGGGTACAACCCCCTGACATGGGACCTATGAAAAGACATGTCTAGCAGTGTGTCTTTTCATGGGTTCGACCATGTCTGTGGGTGAATAATTCAGAGAGTTTCACAAAAGCATTGCTTGATAGCATTCCACACAAATAAAACCAACTTTAGTATGTGCTAAAATGACTTAGTAAATTAATTAAAAGGATGCAATAGATGCCTTCTTGCATTTCACTAAAAAACTAATAATTATGCTGTATATATGCCCACTGATACCTTCTCACCTAGTCGTCTCAACTAACTTATATGATATTACATATTTCAAATTTATATATCCACACAAGACTTGTCAAAAAAAAAAAAAAAAAAGATCTTCCAGGTTGTCACATCCAAACACTTTGTGCCATTAAACTGCATATTTGTGTATGATATAGATAACTTCCTCTTACTGAAAATTGTAAGTCATGTGGGCATTGAAGGAATATTTTCCAAAAGAAATCTCATTACACTCATCTAAGCTAACCTATATAACATCCTCCAATATTATTTTTTGAGTTAATATTATAAATATTCCTTGAAAAACATCCTTCAATATTGTAAATCAACAGAAAAGACAGCTCAATATATGAGCTTTTCTGGAGTTTACATATTCAACACCTTGTGCCTTCAGACTTGTACATTTTCTTCTAATATACTAAGTGATGAAGGAAGATTTAGCCCGACCTCGCAATCACGCCACGTGGCAAAAAACAAGTAGCTCGGCACTTAAAGCAGCATACCCAGGGTGCAAACACCAAAGGAAAGAGACCAGTAGACCAAACTCTCTTCAAGGGGCCCGAACTCCCTAAAAGGAGCCCGACCTCCCTACTAAGAGCCTGAACTCTCCCTTTGGCCCCGAGCCACACAAAGCAGTGACCCGAACTGGCCTGTCTCATGGCAGTTCGGGACACCCCCCCTATCCGAACTCAAGACTTCGCCTCGCACACCGCTCCAAGCACTTCGCCTCCAGAGCATTGAACTGGACAAAATACACCATACTTGACACCGAAGGAGTCTGTATCCAGGGGCGGCGCATCTGACTAACTTGGGATCTGACGCTTGACGGCCGCACTTCAACGGCCACCTGCCACCGTCACCTACCACCGCCATCTCCAGTTACGGAGACGGCTCCGACAAAAAGAGTTGTGACGGTTCTACTCCAGCAGAGGCAATGACGCCCGGACTGGCAGAAGCACGGAAGTAATCATTCCCGACCTGACAGAAGTCTGGGAGTGAGTGTGCGAGGTGGTTATAAAAGGCTCTCCACCCCCCCGAAGAGAAGGTAAGCAAACTTTGCGCTATCTGGTTTTATCTTGCCTTTGAAGGATTCTAACTTGAGCTTCGGAGCCTTTACACCGGGTTCCCCCCGGAGCTTCCTCAYCTCCYCYRTTTYAGGTTCCCTRCTACTCAGTTCAGAGGCAAGGTCGTTGACAGCTAAGACCGGCCGGATTGCGCATCATCACTAAGCTTCCCATTAATGTAAACTAGGTATGAACCATAGGAACATATCCAAAAGGTTTCATTTCCATGCTTAACCAAAGATAGCAGAAAGGAATACCTCATTGACATTGTAAAGATCAGATCAATGGTTAAATAACCATAGACATCCTTATCTAGTTGTGTAAGCATATTGATTAGGGAGTTGTTTGATTGTTTCTGACATTTATTAGAAAAGAACTTTAGCTCATTACTCCCTAAATATGCAATTATTTTTTAAAGAAGGATGTAAATGGATCATTTTTTTTATTAAATAATGGACCATTGTATCCAAAGGAAAATATTTAGACAGTCTCTGCATCTTAACCGTTCAAACATGTTTACAGGGCCATGTTTTGTTGCATGTGAGCTGTGAATCCCAAAGCATGTTCTTTATGTCCCAAATCATGTTAATAGAGATTCATGTTTACTATTTATATTTCATATATTTAAGTACAATTAGAGAAAATAATAGGCAGGACAGAAGGAAAGATTCATCTCCAATAATATAATTCAGTTTGAACATATTTCAATAATAAATGAGAGCCAAAAAGGGAAAAAAAAGAGAAAAAGTCAAAAACAAAAATATGGTACAATATAACACACACGTACAGATTCATGCTTACCAAAAAGTCAAGACTGTATGGCATATCTATTATAGGTGGATCACCTAATTTACCATCCAAAGTCTCATTCTTTCCGTGTACTGCACATCTAGGGAAGATCTTAACCATTGATCATATCATACCTTAATGCAAATATTAGCAAAAGACACTGAAGAAAAACACTAGCCCAAAGAGATAATGCAGCAGAAACCAGGAAGAGGACATAACACAAGTAACAAGCTACAGCTGAAACTAAGCAATGGTGTTATCAAGACCAAAGGTATAGAAGAGATGGATAGAGAGAGCACAGGCAACTCACAGGCACACCCTTAAAATTACAAGGTATTTCCAATACCAGTGCAAGATTACCAGACTTTGGAAACCTACTTCCGAAGTAAATACAACTTCCCAAGACAATGAATTCTGTAGTATCGAATACTTCAACACATGCCAAACAAGACTAGAAAGAACTTAGTCTAAAACAGTAAAATAAAGCACTCATGTGAAGACATAATTACATAAAAGGTGGCACCAAACCACCTTGCCTCAGTTGCTACACATGAAATATGTGAGGTCTACAACTCAAGTTGTACAAGGTGTACACAACATTTCTTTCATCTCAACATATTATTGGTGAACACCTGTTGCTACCATGGGTCAAAGTATTGATATGGGCAATACATAAAAATTGCAAATCACCTGATTCTGAACAGCAATGCTCTATGAAAACGGCACTATTTCAGAACAAGATTTGAAATCTTCATTCTTCTTAATGAATATAAAGCTCTGAATATCTTAATTCTCCCAAATTCGCAGTATTTCATGTATTGCTCACCCTGAAAACTATGGGCCCGTTTGGTGCGTCTTTTCGCACGGTCCTTCGACTGTTTACAAGCTGGGAAGACTGAAAATCGGTCTATTTCCGTTTAGCACGTGAAAGATCTAACCACCAAAAGACGGGACGCCGAAAAGACACGAGAAGCCCATTTTGGGCTGATTTCGAGAAGCTCCAAATGAAGCTTCTAGGGTCTTTCGCGTTTTAATCTCGCACGAAAAGACGCAGAACGACGCACATCTGCCAAACGGTCTTCGGGCTGCCCAGATCTTACGTCAAAAGCTCAATACGTCTTTTAACTGTCAAAGCTACAAGAATATCTTCTCAAAAAGACTTGCCAAACGGGCCCTATATGTATCATATGAAACAGTACAATATGTATCGATACTTTTAATCCTGGTTGCTATTCCTGCAAAATAAATAAATAAAACGTTAAGGCCTCGTCCGTTTCGCAGATTTTAGTAGGGGGGAAGTGTTACCCCCCTACTAAAATACCCATTAAAACAATATAATCCAAAAAAGCATGGACTTGGGCCCAAGGGTAAAAATGACAAAACATAAAAAAATTAACCACTTACCCGGGAAAGTAGGTGAGGCAAAAAAACATGGGAAAGTTGAGAGCCTCATTTACCTGGGTAAATTAACAAAAAAGAACATGGGTAAGTGCACTTACCCGGGTAAATGGCCTCTTAGTAAACGAACAAGGGTAAGTGCACTTAACAAATAAGTTCTTCATTCAACCATGGGTTTCTTGCTTCTGCACAGGAGTGGAGAGTGGGGAGAAGAGAAATTTGGCAGAGAAGAAAGCATCCATGGAGAACAAAGGGTTACTACAAATTAGTGCCAGATTATTATTTCTTCTGCTTCTTCCAAGTGAACAACAGGGGGGCTCTACTCCTTTCAACTTCTCTCTAAAATGAATTGAGACTATTTTCTAATTCCAATCTTTTATGTGTTTCAATAAGACCAGGTTTATGGACAATAATTGAGACTATTTTAGTGAAATCTGATCTCTTATAGGTCTCCATTGTTGTTGTTTTTTCTTTTTTTTTTTTTTGCATTTTCAACTACATCTGCATTTGGTGCTTCATCTCTTCATATTGGGTTTTATACAGGATTAGACCTCTTAGTTCTCCTATCATTTCCTGTTTTTAAGCAGATGGTTCAATTTATTATTTTTCTGATAATTCTATATCAGATATATCATAGCTTTTTGCCTCCTGCTTCAAATCTTCAATCCTCTATCATACATAGTATTGGAGTTTTTGTTTTTACTTACATTACTGTTGTAGTCGGTTACAACATAGGGGCGGGGATGAGTTCAAACAAGTCTTTTTCTGTTTATAAAAGAAAGCTTGCATGAGGATTTTGCAACTAGGTTCATCACAGGAACTAGGCTTAAGGATATTCTTTTCTTGCCATGCTGGACTAAGAAAATATACCTTAAAGTTTCTTCCATCATCGAGTCTGGATATTATAAAATATCATTAGCAGTATGGTTTTACATTCTGCTCATGGCATCTATTTTGGTCCTAGCTGAAATTGAAGCAGAATCCGCAAGTTTAGGAATCCCTTAAAAGATCTATTGAAGTACTTTAAAACTCTTACATTCAGCAGAAATGGGTAGTGTAGTCGAAACTTTCAAAGTCCCAGAATTACTTGCAGGAAAATTGTCTTGCCTTTAAAGTGTACATGTTCTCTGCTTTGGTTGGCTATGTGGAAAGCTTTTGGCTCAAGTAAATAAATGACCAAGGGCTGGGGGCTAGGGATGAATTGAATCAAATTGTGTATGTTGTTGTTTGAGTTTTGAATTGTAATTGGATGTTCAAATGGGCATTATCTCTCTGCCATCTAAATAGTACGGACATGGGCATGGTTGGTTTACAAATATGATTGATACAATTTGAGTATTTTGGAGTTTGGATTATGCAATATGATTGCTTTTTTACAGATCTAAAAGGTGTTTGTTTATATTATTTTCTTTGATATTACTATTTTTCAAGTTTAAAAAATCTTTCAAGGATATACTATTCTACCAACTATATGGGGTTACACTAAGAAATCAACTAAATCATGTTTTAATGTTTTGTATTTTTATATATATTATATTTATAATTATTCCGAACATATTTTCTAGGCATATGCCTTGAAACACCTTAAGTCCAATTCCTTACCTCTCCAACTCCCTTGACCTTTCCATGGCCATACTAGTTTTCTGAATCAGTTGTGACATTGTAGCCGTCATGCTTCTACATTATAACTAGAAGAAAAAATCTGCATATAACTTCCGCAACCCTGGTAATTCTAATGAATATTATATCCTGCATCTTTTATTGTAATGCCCCTGTTATCCAAAGAGACAGGGGCAACAGGATTTTGCATCTAATTCAAGTTTGGCTTAAAACAGGATTATTTTGTACTAGGGGTCGTATTTTGTGCAATATTGTTCATTTTACCATTTGTTGGTCCATTTGGAACGAAAGGAAGGGGGTGGGGCTTTAAGGAAAGCAAGTTTGAGAGGATCAGTTGAAAGGGAAGATTTGAGAGGGACATCCTCTTTTGCATATGAATTCTTAAGGAGTTCAATGGCTTCACTTTAAGAGACTCTTTTTTTTTGAGAAAGTTAAAGTGTTGTATTGTATTATATCTGTACTGTAAAACTCAGACTACAAGTATGTATCATGTATGCAACATGTACAGCCAGTAACCATACATCATTCTGAGCAAGCCATAGAAAAACTTTCCAACCAACAGAAAACTAAAAATTCAGGCCCTTCTATCAGCATGAATGTGTTTAACCAAAAAGGCAATGGAATGCACAAAGTTATACATGATTCAACCATTGATGCATAGGTTGTATATTTTGTAAAGAGCTTTCTAATCCTCTTGTATGAAGTCAACCCTTTTTATATAAAAAAAAAATTACTAGAATCTTTACAAATCAAAAAATAAATAAATGAATGAAAGAGTACTAGTGCTGAAGGCATTTGTAAAGGCAGAGCTATGATACCTAGGTACCTGCACAAGAGTGATGCATCATGTTAGATACTTCAATTTTTAGTGTAAATTCTATATACCATGTCCAACTGTTGGGTTGCTCCATTGCAACCTGGGTGACCAGGGTTCAAATCTTGGAAATAGCCTTTCTGTATGTGCAGGGGTAAGGCTGCGTACATCTGTCCCTCCCCAGACACTGCATTGGCAGGAGCCTCGTGCACTGGGCTGCCCTTTTTATGTCCGACTGTGTCCTTGCCATATCAGAGTAACATAGATGCAGAGCTAATATATCATTTACACAGATGTGGAAATCACCAATCCCTTGAAACTTTGTTATAGAACAGGCTACTCCAAGACATGAATGACCGAAGATATGGTTTGTACACCAGGAATAGCGTTCCTCTTACATATTGAAGAGAAAAATATTGTTCCATGATCAGCAATATGGTGCCGCCACCAGGAACCTGGTCATGCAGGTGCAGCACAGATCTAAGTTCAAGAAGTTCAGAGTGAGGTTAGCTAATCATGCTTTATTTTAAGTTTTATCCAGTCAAATAGTTAATGTTCTAGTGAGTGAAACAACACTATCACCAAGCCAGTTCTCAACGTGATTCAGTTAACCTGTTAGGGTCAAAAACAACTCCATCAAGTCATGGCACTCTTTTATTGGATACATTGATAAAAACAACATTATTCTCAAGTTAATAATAATCCTTCAATGGTTATTCAAATGTTAGTAGAAACCAATGATTTTTGGAGTGAACAAGTCAACTTGCCTGAGCCATGGTTTTATATGGAGGCATCTCAAGTCCAAGTCACAAACTTTCCATCCTTGGGATGAAGATAGTAGCTGGAAGTTGATGCCCTTGATCTAATATGGAGAATCAATCCTCTCAATTACATGAATAACGCAATTGACCTTGTATTGGCCAACCTATTGGGTGAAGAAGTTGGATTAATAGAAGTTTGACGCACGATGCCCTTCAGTTGAATAAAGAAATATGCAAGCTACAACAGAATTCAGAGTGCAGCTTTGCACCCGCTGTACAGCCTATCTATATGAGACAAGGAAAAGAGCTAATTTACCCTGACATCCCCATGTCAATGGTGGGAATATATGTTCTATCATGAACGGTGCACCAGTTCCTTGAAGAGGTCTGGAGCAACTGCTCCTCCAAGTATAGTTGCTGCAAAATAGGTGTTCCTTTAAATCTAACATAAGTAATAATATTTTCTACAGCTTCCATAAATGTTCAAGGATCAAAAAGGAAGGAAAGAATCCAACTGGGGAAAATCTTATACATTCTTTTCAGGACTTGGTTTAAATCAAACAAACCGACAACGAAAGTAATTAAGAAAGAAAATAAAAGAACAAATTGCCAAATACTTCTTACCTCAGACTCTGAGTGTCTTCTTAGCTTTACCCAATTTTACTTTAAGGATCGGAGAAGAAATTTTCTTCCCTCTTTTCTTTCCTTCTCCTCGATTTTATTGTCCTTTTTCTAATGGGCTTTTTAGTTTTTACCAAAAAAAAAAATAATAATAATTGACGAAAATTCAGATACGGATTTCTAACAAAGTGCAAAACAGGTGAGGTGTACCAAAACAGTTAATTTTTATGACTAGATTGCCCCTTACTAAAATTTCACTCCCGCTCAAGGACCAAACTCCTCTTTCGCTCCCATTCTTCTTCTTCTTCTTCTTCTTCTTCTTCTTCCTTTCGACCTTATATCTACTTTGTCGCCAAACTCCTGGAATGTCCATTTGGGACCTTACTCTGTTAATCAACGTAATCTGTTAAACCAATCCGAATTCGAGTATGCATATATATAAGGCATTGTATATTTTATTGGCAGAAGTTCTGAATTTTTATTAAAGGGGCATAACTTCGTGTCATTTCTATTTCATTTGTTTATAATATATAATATTGTAGCTACTTTTTAGTTTGGTGGCCATTGCTTCGTGCAGTGCTAAACATCTCCGGCGGACAAGCATGAGACATTGGGTTCAAGTCTGAAAATTGAAATTCACCCATCTTTGAAAGGATAGGCCATTGAAGCTGTAAGAGTACTTGCTGTTTTTCTCTATAGATTGAGGAGCAACACTCATGACCCACTCAAGTAAAGCCATGTTCAGGTTGATAATGCAGATGGAACTGTGGTGCCTATGCCCAATGCGTCCTGCATCCAATTGCCCTTTTCAAATCTCACTCACAGACCTTAGTTGTATTTGTATTTGTACTCCTTTCAAACTGAACCTTAGTTGTAATGGGTGCAAATACGAATCCCAAGATTGAACCATACTTTTTAACATTGATCAACTTTGAATGCAAAGTTTTACATCCTTTTTCGATGAAAACTTTGGTCTCATTCCGGTGCAGACATGCCTTGAAATTTGTGAACTGTCACTTTCAATACACAAACCGGACACTAACAAAACTGAACCAGAACTGGCATTTTCACTTCCCAAATGGAGCCCTAGCATTCATTACATTTCTACTTCATCCACCATTCTATGTGTAGTGAACATGTATATTTATCAAGGAGATTGATAGATTACAGACCTAATTAACTTGTCTCCTTTGAAGACATCAGCATGATCATTGAATAAAAGTCAAAAAGCTATTCTTCATGGACTTTAACCATGGCTATTACTAGTACTTCTCATGTTGTTTGCTACTCTATTTTAAAGTTGTGGTTTAACAAGCATAGTTTATGAATATTGGGGTTATGGTAACACAAATGTAGAATCTTTGAGGGCTATGTTATAATATTTATTATTTAAATTTAGGGTAAATTGTTGAAGCCTCTCTGAAGTTTATGGCCATTGCTTCAGCCCCTGAAGTTTAGTAATTGCAATCAACTCCCATGAACTTTTTAATACAGTTGCAAGTAGACCCCCTCTAGTAAAATCTTCTAAAAAAGGCATAAAATGTCCAAAATACCCATGCAATTATTATTGAGGTTGGCTTCTATTAAAAAAACAATGCAACTTTATAAACAACAAGAACAAAGAGAATTTAAAGTTGCAGATTTATCTTTGAGTGATTGATATGAAGGGAAAGTTTGAAAAATAAATCAATTTCAGAAAAGAGATTGGAAGGGTTTGGGATAGTGATTCATATAAAGAGAAAATTTGGAAAACAAATATTTTTGCTAAAAGTAATTGCATGGGTATTTTGGACATTTTCATGCCTTCCTTTAGAAAATTCTACCAGAGGGGTTCTATTTGCAATTATGTCAAAAAGTTTAGGGGAGGTAATTGCAATCACCAAACTTCAGGAGCCAGAAGCTTCAAGAGAGGTTTTAGCAATTTACCCTTAAACTTAAACTCTTTTATTTAAGGGTAAAATACAAAACCTCCCCTATAGTTTCTGATAATCATAAAAGCCTCATTTATAGTTTCACTTTAATAAAAACCTCCCCTAAACTTTCAAAAAATTCAATAGAAACCTCCCTTCTGTCATTGATCCAGACAGAAAACGTTTAACTGATCTATAATTTTTCCAAATACACATTTTACCCTTTTGTAAAATGGGTACTGAAATAACTAATTGATGAAGAATGGATTAAGCTAACCAATAACATTTGCCAGTGAAGAACAGTTGACGAACGTTAACATCCTGGGCATTTCTTGGTCAAATGTTAACTCAGTGCTAAATACCTTTGAGGGTGGAAGATTCCAAATAATAGTTAAAAGGGAAGAATACTCACTAATGAAAACTTCTGAACCCCGAAGAGTGATGATATCCTTGGCAATAGTTCTTGATGCCATATGTATCTTTCTGCTCTAATTCAACAAAGATGGTTTCTTCCTTTTCAAGAATTGGATGAGAGTCACAGAACAAAATATTTTACAAAAAAAAAAGACCCATAGAGCAGGGGAAATGGATCCGGCGATTAAATGAAATCTTGAAAGCAATAGTTTGGGTTGGGATTCCATAGTTAAATTTATCATGATTCGCAGTAGGAACGAAATCTTTGTATTTATCACTAATTCACTATGTCCAGAACTAGGTCACTAAGAAACTAAGACGACAACAATTCATCGAAGAGTTGTGCTCTAGTCCCATCAACCTTGAGAGACAATGGAGATTTTGCTCATATGAACATATAAATGCTTTAAAAGATAATGGAGATTGTGTGGTCAAATGCTTCTACAAGCTCTCACAATTCAGAAACCACGTTAATCTCTCCCTCTGTTCTTTCTAAGCTGAAGGTGATACCCTCTGTTTTGCTATTCCATCATGGGGGTTAGAATTTCAAGATCAGAAGGAGAAATTCATCTTTGCGTGTCATGGAAAAGGAATCCTAGTTCAAGTTAGACCAAGAGAAGGCCTAAAAGGCATTGAAAAAAAACTTGACGAGCAACTCCAAACCCTCTCTCATAAAGAAATAACTCCTCCAAAGAAAATGCTCTCTTCTTGCATTTGGAGGATTTCCATGCTGCAACGTAGGTGTTCCATGGTAATGGTTCTTTATCGGCAACTGTTATTGGTCGGGCTTAATCCGTTATTCACCGATTAGTTATTTTAGTACCTAGGTAGGGATTAGTTCCAAGATTTTGGAGCCAGACCCTACCCTGTAACAAATTGGGTAAGATCGGTTCGAGGCTGGGTTGAGGTCAGTTCCATTTGGTTCCGAGTAGAACCTACCCATTTGCTCACCCCTAATTTAACTTCTCAGAAAAAGGTTTGAATCATTAAATAAAGGGTAAAATACAAAAACCTCCCCTTTAGTTTTACTTCAACAAAAACCTCCCCTAAACGAGTTTACCCTATCTGATCCGACCCAATGAACTGGCCTTGGTTGGCCTTAGTGGAACTGGCTTTAGAACTGAACTTGCCTTGAAATAAACTCCAAAATATTTTTAAGAGTGAAGATTTGAACACAAGCTCTCATGGTTACAAAAGCCATGGTCTCACTTGACCATTGAATTACTTAAGTGATTTGATCATTTGTTTTCATTTTAATATTTGAATGTGTATAATAAATAATGTAAAAAGTAATATTTATAAAATTTAAATTATAATATGACAAATTTTGAACCACATGTTAATATATTATAATAATCTATACATTAAATTACTCAATTTAATCAATAAACATAATATAAGTTTTAAAGGACATGTTTCATTCTTTTAAGAGGGAGAGTAAACAAATAACAGATTCTACGGGTAGAGACCCTGGAATCGACCCTGGAACCTATCTTCACAAAGTAGGTTCTGGTTCCACAAACTTGGAACCCACCCCTACAGGGTAGGTTCTAGGTTCTGTCATGGAACCGAACCGAACTAACTCGTGCTCACCCCTAAGTTGAATGATTGCTTTTATTGTATTAACTTCCGAGCAAGAGACACCTAAGCGTATACTCCCTATATTGATTTTTCTTGATCAACAAAATGAACAAGGTCAAGATGTTACTAGGCATTAAATGGTCTTACTTTATTAGTAGATGTATCTATGAGAAACAAAAAGAAGGCTATGTTGTAGAAGAACCCCAATTGAACTTTGAAATCTTTGGATCAGTGGAAGTTAGCATACCAAAGCTTTCTTCTCCCTCAAGTTCATTGTCATAATCTCATCCTCGGTTTAAGGAGGAGCAGTTTTGTGCTTTTCAAAAAAAAGAAAAAAAAAATTGTCCCACTTATTGATGTATCCAATTTTGTCAATATATAAAACTTTGTTAATTTCTGCGCAAAAATCCTATTCCAATTCAAATCACTAGAGAAATCTTTAATTATGGGTATATCTACAGGGGCATTTTATTTAATTATTGCTTAATCTAATTACTAAAAGCATGGCACGTGGACAAGCATGAAGAGGAAGGTTGGACTCTTCTTGTTAATTAAAGACAAGTTCAAAGTACAGTTGATGTTCACCCATGCACATCCGAAGATCCACACTCCGGCACTCTCGAAAAGACTAAAAATTTGTTGAAAGCATCTGCTGATACAAGGAACTTGAAGTTGGGTAAAACGCTCCATGGTCAGTTGTTCAAGAGAACCATTAATGAAAGCATTGAAGATGTTGTGATTCAATCTAACTGTCTGATAAATTATTATTCAAAAATGCAACCAAATGTCATTAGCCCATCAATTGTTTGACCGAATGCCTAAAAGAAACCTAGTTTTTTGGAGCTCTCTAGCTGATGGCAGGTTATCTCCATAGTGGACTATCTTCCGAACTTTTCAGGATATTTAGAACAATGAATTTGGATGGAACTATGCAGCCCAATGAGTATATATTTGCCACCATTATTTCTTTATGTGCCAATTAATATCAGAGCACTCGAAGAGGGAACAGAGCCATTGTTATGTATTGAAGTCTGGGTTGGTATTTCACTCATATGTTAAAAATGCACTTCTATATATGTACTCAAGTTGTTCATATGTGCAAGGTGCCTCACAGGTTTTCGAGACTGTGCCAGGATCGGATATTCTTTCTTATAACTCAATCATCCTTGGGCTTTTAGAACACGGGTATCTAAATGAAGCATTGGAAGTTTTGAATAAGATGGTGGATAAGCCTGTAGTGAGGGACAATATCACATATGTTACTCTTATTAATCTCTGCAAACATTTGAAAGATTTAAAACTCCAGGTTGCAAATCACAATCAGATATTCAGGACTGGTCTTAAGCTTGATATCTTCATTGGCAGAGCAATTATAGACATGTACGGGAAATGTGGTAAGATATTCAGTGTGCAAGAAATGTTTTTGATGGGCTATGCAACCACAATGTGGTCTCATGGACAGCTATTATCATGGAGATGTATTAAATGCGTGTATAAAGAAAAACCAGATTATTGTTGGGAATGCCCTGATCAACATGCATGTATTTCAAGAGTGGGTGATGTTGAATTTGGGCATCAAGTACTTTTAGATATGTCTTACCGTGACATCATTACATGGAAATCAATGATATGTGGCTACTCCCATTATGGACTTGGTAGACAAGTCTTCCAAAATATGTTGTTAGCTGAAGAAGCACCTAGCTATGTAACTTTTGTTGGAGTTCTATCTGCTTGTGTTGACAAGGGGTTCTACTATTTAAATCAGATGATGAAGGGTATTGGGATCACACCTAGGGTGGAGCATTAATTATACTTGCATTGTTGGGCTTCCAAGTAGGACAAGACTACTCAAGGAAGCTGAGAGTTTCATGAGGTCTACATCATCAGTCAAATGGGATGTTTTTGCATGGTGTACCTTGCTCAATGCTTGCCATGTCCAAGGAAAACTTTGGTCTGGGAATGAAAGTAGCAGAGGCTATTTGTCCTAGAGTTGGATCCTGGTGATATGGGGGCATATATTATATATGCCAAGGCAAGGAGGTGGGATGGAGTTGCAAACATTAGGAAGTTGATGAGGGGAAGAAACATTAAGAAAGAACCAGGGGTGAGCTGAATAGAGATAAGAAATAAAATCCATGTCTTTATTTATTTCAGAAGACRAGAAACACCCCTATTCAAACCAAATACATGAACATGTTGTCGAGCTACTACCACTTGTAAAACCATTATGTTATGTGCCCAGGGTCGACACTGTGCTGCATGATGTGGAGGATGAATAGAAGGAAGAGTATCTCAGTTATCACAGTGAAAAGTTGGTGTAGCATATGGCCTTATGAATGCACYTATAGGAGCACCAATTCGTGTCATTAAGAACCTTCCGATGTGTGACGACTGCCACTATGCCATAAAACTCATATTAATGGTCACTAACAGCAAAATAATCATCAAAGGYGTTAATCGGTTCCACTGCTTTATAAATGGTGGTTGCACTTGTGGTGAATACTGGTGATGCTCCATTGACCTTTCACTCATTGAGCAACTTAGATGAAGAAAATAGCCTATTCAGCTGAGAGGTCAACTGTGCTTTGTTACATAAAATCAGCTTTCAATGCACGCCCAAACTGAGTCCATTTTGCTCAGGTTCCTTGTAAGTATTCTTAACCAAATTTGTTACGAGTTCCCTTAAGTTTTATTTCCCTAAAATATAAAGTTGTGAGTTAATTTCTCCTCATCTCCTGAATAGACATTAAAGTTCATCATACTTGATTTTGTTTAGTTTATCTGTGTGAGTTACTCTTACAGTAGAACCACAAAGGAAGCCAAGGAAAATAGTTCYAAAAGAAAAGGAAACRGCAACAATAGTTTTCAGTTCTTGTCACTAAGAGGAATTTCCCATTCCCTAAAGCTTGAATACACTTGGGCCATCAATAACAGGTTTTCTCTTCTAAATAAATCAATAGCTCAACTAGAAATATGTTTCCTCTACAACTACTCTAGACCCACTTAAAAGTTGTTCTACCACTTGTGATGCACAAAAAAAAAAAAAACAAAAAAAAGTTTCATGACTTGCCATTTAATGCCTGGTTAAAAATCCATAATATTTGTCAAGGTTCAGCTTCTTAGCATCTATGGGTTGTGATGATTCTTGCATCTGCAATTAGAGAAGTAATTTGATTTCTGAACACATTGCTAAAGCAAAAGGGTAAAGCAGAAGAGAAGAAGTTTTACTACTTCATTGTCATCATTACATAGGGGACACACCAATTAAGTCCCGTTGTTGGGGGCATGTTCTGCCATTGCTTTCCCTGAAAAGAGCTGGAACCTAAAGGGAACTTTGTAGACAAGATTCTCACTCCAAACCATCTGATATCTAAAGGGATGGAGGTCGCTAGTCTTTGCAGCCTATGTAACCTTGAAGAAGAACCGGTCCATCATTTGCTATTCATGTTATGGATGATAATTTTGTAATTTCTGCTTCCTAGTTGTAAAGTTTAATATTCTCTTTGGCTGCGTTTAGAAACGATGCAAATGGAGTGTAAATCCTGGTTCAGAGTAAATTTGCACTCTGGTTCACTTTTGCCTATGTTTGGCAACATTACATTTATGCATTGACAAATGACAGACCAATGCATATTTACATTGATAATAAGATGTAATAGTACATCAATAAAAAAGAAGTGCATTTGCATTCAAGTGGGCTTTTGATAAAAAAGAAAGAAAAAAAAAACATATGCTTTATTGGAATTCATGTTTGCATCCATTACAGCTAAAAGTCTGTTTGGTAAGAAGATAAATTTGTCAGTGCAAAACTAACCCAATTTTGCATTTTATATGAACCGTTTTACATTCTACACATTTGCATTCACACTTATTTGCATCGTTTCCAAACGCAGCCTCTGCAATCTTCTGCTTACCTGCTTTTTATATAGCGTTTTGGCAGGGATCTATTCCTCTCTTTATACATCGATATAATTCTATTTTCATCTTTAAAAATAAAATATCCATCTAATGCTTGAACTGGACAACTAAAGATTTTATGCTTATTTTCTACTGCCGGTAGTTAAAAAAAGTTAGCTTAGGTTTTCTAGAAAATGAACACTTTTTCAGTTTCTGTTAATAGCCTGAAGTTGTTTCTGGTCGGCAGATGAGTGGAATGAAATGCCATATAAAACTGAATCAAATGATTCAATTAATTTCCCAGTGGCTTCCAAATAGAAGATTCTATTTTTGCATACGCTTGGGGATGCTAAAAATGTAAGAAGCTCTTCAAGTTTTATAGGAGGAAATGCTTTGTAGGTAGTGAATCTGTTGCCAGTGGAGAATTTCTGTTTACTTGCACCCAGAAATTATGAACCTTTCAGTTATGATTTCACTACCGGCGTGTTTGGGACCGTATTTTTTGCAATTTTTGAGAAAATGTTTTTTCATGGTATTGTTTGGTTTCATTGCTGTTTTCTGAGAAAACACTTTGTGGAAACACCAAAAATGACATTTTTAGTATGGGTAGTTTTTTTTTTTTTTTCCTGAAAAAACGGCAAAATGTATTTTACTGTTTTGAGAAAACTGTTAACCAAACAGCATATGCCGATGTGTTGTTTGCCCTTTTTCTCAAAACCTGATGTGGGACTGTTTTCTCAAAAAAACGGCAATGGTCCCAAACACCACCTTAGCGTTTAATAGAAGATTGCACGGGCTGTGCTAAAAAGATGGCCATTCTACATTCAGTTAAATTTACTGAATTGGTTGATGGTTGTGGGTGAACTTATATAGCCCGATATTTAATTTTTTATTTTTAAAAATTCAAAAGAACCACAAAATTCTGAAAGGATTGGGAAGTAATATATTACAGGTATGATGTGGACAACTGCATTTTAGAATGAATTGGCCATTTCTTCTTTCTTTCCTATGAAAGGGTTAATTATCAGCAGTCAGCTCAGGTGAGGGGTTCGGGATTCTGTAAAACAATTCATATACGACTGAGACAAGCCAGGTGTCCTGTTTTCATATCAGATAGGGAACAACTCAACGATCATACAAACTTGTGTTACTGCCATGAATCCCGTCTTAGTGTCATCTGATGCTGAGGAACTAACTCTGTGCTGATGGGAGCACCCAAATTTAATTCAAATCGAAACACCAAAAGGTTATATATAGACATGGAAAAACAAAACTAAAAAGAGAAGAAAAGAAAATTCTGTTATAAGTCAAATTAAATGGAAGTGTGTTCAAAAGTGTTTAATTCAGCAGAAGCCGCTTTCCATCAATTTCAAAAATTCACTGAAATCTATCAGTCCATCTCTGTTGACATCAAAGGTTTTAATCATCCTTTTGCATTGCTCCACGTCGTATCCTTCCTGGAAACCCAGAGAACAGAGAACTCTCTGCAACTCCTTTGCATCTATGAACCCATCTCTGTTATTATCAAACACATCGAAAGCATCCTTGACTTCCTCCAAGCTTGGCTCCTTATCCTCAAAAACTTTTGAAACCTCATCCGAACTCAGCCCGTCCTGAATCTTATCGCCATGCGGGTTATACAACAGCCCAAGCTTGTTGATAACCTCCTCCACATCTCTTCTGCACAGTCTCCCATCATCTCCCTTGGCATTGGACTTCTGGCTTGGTGTTGATTCACGACTCTGATATTTTATCTTTGAACAAATCTTTGATTTACCAGATATAAAGTCAAGTAGTGATCTGAGGGGGAATTGGAAACTTGAGTCCAACTGAGGAAGTTTGATGAGCCAGGCCAAAACTCTGTGGCACAAGATGTACTCAACACAGACAGTTAATGAGAACTGTAAGATTGTGGCTGGTGATAGTGTTTCCATATCTTAAAACAATATGGATTTCTAAAAGAAATAGATAAAGACTGCAAGTTAAAAACAGATGAAGAAACTGAATTGGGGATTATCTGGGAAATGGAGACGGGCATATCCATACATATATAAAATGATCAACTTTGAAAAATCAAGGTCTTTATTTTATTTCTTTTCCTGTACAAGTTTGAAAAGCACAAAACTTGCTCCAGAAAGGAAATTTCTCCTCAACTGCTGCATATTTGAAGTGAACTTGCTCTAAAGTTAGTGATGGGAAAGAGTCTTGGTCTTTTTCTATCTTAAGCTTTGCAAAGATTATCTGAGCTTCTAAATAGAACCGAATATCCAGCCAGATATGGGATATGTAAATGAATCAGATTCAAAACCATATTTTACATATCCATCATATATCAAATCGAAATTGCATCTCCCAAGATTCTTGGCGGATGGAATTTGGATATATATAACCCTTATTATTTATTGTTTGTAAAAGACCCAGAAATTGTCTCCTCTTCTGGGTCTTCGGTCTTCCTTTGTGTTGGTAAATTAGTAACTCACACTTTGTTGCGCCTCCGACAGAGAGAGACTATTGATCCATTTGCTTTAAATCCAAGACACGAAACCGATGTATTTTTAATTAAATGGAGAAAATTACAAAGGGAGCGGTGTGTTTGAATTTCCCTGCAGCTGCGTATGATCTTTATGGACGACCGACCCAATATATCAGTCAGTTAACAAAGGAATCCATGTCCTGTCCACTGACCCCCACCTACCCCCCAACCCCTACGAACTCTCGCAGCAACATACATGATCGTGGTAGCATTGACTTGCGTCATAGTCTTTTTATTAAAATAAAACATACCCACTGGGCGGGTATTAGGCTAAATTTTATATGTACATTGTTGACAGTTATAATGTATTAGGTGTTAAATGTAATAATATTTTATATTTTAGTGAAGGATAATTGATAATTTTATGCATTTTTTATATGTTTAATCAAATAATTGAAATTTTTTATATTTATTCATGCTATTTTATTTGCACATTATTTATACATAACATGAAATAATAGAAAATTAGGTATGACTTCGTGACCTAATTTATCAAACCAACCAACCTCACCTTCAAATACAAATACACGGAGGATAAGGTTGGAAAGGGTTTTGTATTTTCATGTGCGGGAACGGCTTGGATTCTGAAAATCCAATCCCCAATAAATTTTGGAGAAGGCATGGATTGGGAGGTATAAAGAGTTGGGTAGGGTTTAAAATTTATAAAAGCCTCTCCAAACCTATTTTTACCATGGTTTTCAAATCCGGACCGGACCGGATCGGACCAGAAAAAGTGGGAACCAGTCAGGTGATTGGTTCTGTTTTATCCCAAAACCGTTGACCTAGGTGGTCGAACGAGCCATCCAACGATTTTGACAGTTATTTATTTTTTTTTTATTTTTTGTTAGAACGAGCCATCCGTTCGGTTCAAATGGTCAGACTATTCAACCAGGGAACTAGCTCTTTGACCGGTTCATTGTCCGATTCAATTTTAAAAATCTTGATTCCTACCATCCTTGACACAATTTTTTTTTTGGGGGGGTGGGGGGGATAAGCGACACAAGAGTTGTTTATACTACTTTGTGGACATTTCAATTGAATTTGTAGTTTTGTTTTGTTCTTTGATATTAATTGGGAATATTAAGCACTTCTACCAGTTCCATGTTGAAGAATACCCATCAAGTTTGTTGCTTCTAGAATCACTATTCCTTTTCTGCTTTCATAGTTGTTAGGAATGGCAACTGGGTGAGACAGAGACGGTGAACCATTTCCCAACCTGTTCTCACAAAAAGGCCCCCTTCTCTCGAGTCTCTCCTTTCTCCCTTACCCCTTCCTAGCCCTTTCATGTAGCAACATGGCAGTCCTCTCTTCTACACTAGAGCCCCTCTCCAAATCTCTCTCTCATGTTCTCAATCACTTAAAATTTTTCATAAACTCTCTCTCCCACCTAAAATTCTTCCTAAAACATTCTTAATCTATATTGCCACATGGTAACACTCTCTTTTTCACTAGAGTTCCACTCCAACTCTCTCTCTCTCTCAAACCGCTCAATACCCTCTTAAATTTCTCCCATCTAAACAATTTCTCCCTTACCCTTCCTAGCCCTTCCATGTAGCAAAGTGGCAGCCCTCTCTTCTACACTAGAGCCCCACTCCAAATCTCTCTCTCATGTTCTCAATCATTTTAAATATCTCATAAACTATCTCTCCCACCTAAAATTCTTCCTAAAACACTCTTAATCTATATTGCCACATGGTAACACTCTCTTTTTCGCTAGAGTTCCACTCCAACTCTCTCTCTCTCTCAAACTGCTCAACACCCTCTTAAATTTCTCCTAAACAATTTCTCCCATCTAAAATTCCTCTTAAACACCTCTTAATCTATATTATAAACCATCTAAAAACAAAAAAAAAAAACGTGAGTAAACTAATTTGGGTAGTTAAATAAATTTGTGAAATATTTTTTATATTTTCAATAATTAATGATATTATTGAATATTATTTAGTAAATATCAACACCTAAACTATACTTTTTCATAATTTTGGTAAATTGAAAAATTCAATTACTAATAATTACTCGCTGATAATTACTAAAAATTTCAGAATTTTTTGAAAATTAATTATTGAAATCAATAATTACTAAAATATTAATAAATACAAATTTAATAATTAAAAATTATCAGTAAATTTTTAGTGGAAAATTAATTTCAATAAATATAAGTTTATTTTTTATATTTTCAGTAATTTTGATATTTACTATAAATTTTGAGCAATAATTAGTGATTTGTTAATTTAGTGAGACTTAAATTATAAAACATCCAATTTTTCAAATAAATAATTGAAAATTTTTAATAATTTCCATAAGTATTGGATACTACATTATTAATCGCCATAATTAATGGAACTATAATTATGGGTTTAGGGGATGACCCCTAGGGTAGGAATCGCAATAATGGGCAGGTTTGGGGCGGGGATCATACTCCCCACCCCGACCTTGAGTTTTAAATTAATCATTGTCAAAAACTTTAGCTCGCGGTCCTTGATACAGAGGGTTTCCCCATTGGGGACCTGAATTTTTTAATTAAATGTTTGTTTATTAGCTCAATATATGTTTTATCCTCTCCTTCACTTCTATCTCTAATCCCCCTCTATTCTCTCCAATTTCCCATAAAAATAGGGCCATAATTTATTAAGATTTGGTTTTCCAAATCAAACAATATTTATATCTATAGACGAGATTTTAAACAAAGAGAGGGGAATAAGGGGAATTCGATGTTTCCTATATATTCAAGGCATCTTCCATTATTGTTAAATAATCTATTCTTAAATAATAATCTATTGTTAAATAATCCACTAGCTATGGAAATTATTAAAAAATTCTGGAAAATAATCTACCAAAAATTATGAAATAATCCATTATTTAACAAATATTAAATAATTTAATAATCTACCAAAAATTAATAAACAATCCATTATTTAATAATTTTTAGTTATTAATAAATGTTCAAAATTTCAATGTTTAACGTAATTTACATTAATCATTGTAATTTAATAAATTTTATTAAATTTTTTATAATAATTTATTGATAAAAGATGTTACTAGTTATTGTAATTTACTAATTTCTATAAAATCAATAATTATAATTAACAATTATCAAATAATTTAGGGAAACTATTTAATTAATAATCCATAATTATTTTTTAAATAAGTAATTAAAAATTAATAAATTAATCTATGAAAATTTATTTTTCAAAAGTATTTAAGTAATAGAAAGTTTTTGATAATTATTTAAATAACAATCCATTATTATTATTATTACTATTATTAATATTATTATTATTATTATTATTTCAATAAGTAACTATTAAATAATTTAGGAAAATTATTAACTCTATCCACACCGATCTAGACCACTTGGTTGACTTCAATCATACATGGTTTTACATTATTTAACAATAAATGGTTTAATTTTAATTAAAAATAATATAATTTACCATGATTACATTAATTTACTTTGATTAATAGTAAATAATTTACATACTACTAATCGATAGAAATTTCAATAATATTTTGGAAATTATCATAAAATATGATAATTTATTGTTAGTTATTTAGTTATAGAAAATTATTAGAATTGTAGGGATGACAATTTTCCCTGTAAAATTGGGGCCTTACCTTGTCCCACTTCGAACGAGTCAAATTTTCTCAAATCTTAAACGGGGACGGGGCAAAGACGGGGTGTGTACGGGGGAAATATTTTTGTCCCAAATTAGGGATGGGATTTGCATATAATTCCCTGAACCCAATGGCAAATTAATAAAGTATCCATAGATTTAACATTGATTATTAAAATATCTCTAAGTTTTCCTCATATTCTTATAATCCTAGGACTCTATAATTCCGTTTATAAAATACCCCCAATTTGTCATAATCTAATTCCTGAAATACCCCTAAATTCCCATAATCCTATTTGTAAAATATCCATAAATTGGATTTTTTATCTGAATTGCCTCAAGGTGGGGAAAATTTGAGAATTTCCCATCCCCAACAGAGAATGGGTGTCTCGCCCCAAACCTGCCCCACCGTTGGTGTCGAGACAGGGCTAGAGTATGTCTTAACTTACAAGGGCGAGGGACCACGAAAGGTACCCATCCCGTGCATCACACAGCCCCCGCTAATTTTATATATATATATCAAAAGTAATTTAGTAATTAACTAAGTGGGGATCCCTACAGGACGGGGACCAGGAACCACATGGGGTGGGGAGTATGAAAATTTTCTCATCATCATCCCCGCAGGAGGGCAGGGATTGCCATCCCTACTGGCTACTCACTACTGTGGTATGTGGTTGTGTTGTGCTTGAGTTCGTCGTCTCTGCAGTCATTGGAAAAGGTAGCCACTATAATACGTGTTCATCCCCTTTTCTTCTTCTTCTACTATGGTAAATGAAGGAGAGTTGATCTGGAGTTGCTGCTTTGAGGGTAATGTAATTAAATGTATAATTCTTCTTTTCAAAATTTTGGGGGCAAAATCACTTTGGGGAATAGCCAAAGTCTTATGGGTTTGGCTCCAGTGGCAATAACTGTCTAATAATGTGATAG